ACCGTCAAGGCGAATGAGAAATTCCTTGACCTCACCTACAAGGTCGACAGTTCTGTCCCGGATTACGTTATTGGTGACTCTTTCCGTCTTAGACAGATCATTTTGAACCTGGTGGGGAATGCGATCAAGTTCACTGAACATGGCGAGGTCAGCCTCACCATCAAGGAGCGAGCTGAAAAGCCATCGAATCTCGCCCATGGCGAATACGCCGTTGAGTTTGTAGTCGAGGATACTGGCATCGGAATTGCTAAGGACAAACTGGACCTCATCTTCGACACATTCCAGCAGGCAGATGGCTCCATGACCCGCAAGTTTGGCGGTACCGGTCTCGGTCTTTCCATTTCAAAGCGGCTGGTGAATTTGATGGGAGGTGACCTCTGGGTTAACAGCGAAGCGGGCAAAGGAAGTGCCTTCCATTTTACTTGCCGGGTGAAATTGGCAGCCGATGATGCAAAAGCGATCTCGAGACACCTTCAGCCTTACCACGGACACCAAGTGCTGTACGTGGATAACGCGCAATCCGAGGCTCGATCAAAGATCATGGAGATGTTGAACCAGATTGGCCTTCGGCCTGTGGTTGTCGACTCGGAGAAGAGCCTGGCCCTCACTGGTCTCAAGACCGGCGGCGTTCTCCCATACGACGCTATTCTCGTGGACTCAATCGTTACCGCACGAAGATTGAGGGCAGTGGACGATTTCAAGTACCTTCCCATCGTGTTGTTGGCACCCATCGTTCATGTTAGTCTGAAATCCTGCCTGGATCTCGGTATCACCTCATATATGACGATGCCCTGCAAACTGATTGACTTGGGCAACGGCATGGTTCCCGCTTTAGAGAACAGAGCAACGCCCTCGCTCGCTGATAATACCAAGTCGTTCGAGATTCTGCTCGCCGAAGACAACACCGTCAATCAAAAGTTCGCCGTCAAGATCCTGGAGAAGTATCACCATGTGGTGACCGTCGTTGGCAATGGATGGGAGGCTGTCGAGGCAATCAAGGAAAGGAAGTTTGATGTCATTCTGATGGATGTTCAAATGCCCATCATGGTAAGTAGATTTCCAGCCCAGTCAAGGCTAACCTTCACTTGTTCCGTGTATCAGCAGACTAACATTTTTTTCAACAGGGCGGATTTGAAGCCACCGCGAAGATTCGAGAATACGAACGCGGTATGGGCACGCATAGAACCCCTATCATTGCGTTGACAGCGCACGCCATGATGGGTGATCGCGAGAAGTGCATCCAGGCGCAAATGGACGAATACTTGTCGAAACCCCTGCAACAGAACCAGCTCATCCAGACAATCCTGAAATGCGCCACACTCGGTGGCCCATTGCTGGAGCAGAATAGGGAGCGGGAGCTAGCTCTACAGGCAGAGGCGAAGTCTTCGACCCATAAAGAGGACGGCCAGGGTATTTTGAGGCCATCACTGGAGCCCCGGGCATTCTCAACCCACGATGGATTGGGAAGCAACACGCTAGAAAGCCCGGTCTTGGTGACGGAAGATGAGGGGGAACTTGTCAATGGACGGCAAAAGCTGAATGAGATGCGAAGTCTTACGAATTAAGCCTGGTTTGCATTTTTCTCTCAATATCATGACGGATTATCTTTTAGGAAATGGTTCACTTGATTCCCCATCTTCTCTGTTGTTGACGCAGTGCCTCAGAGCGAGAGTCCTTGAGCATGGCATGGCTGAGGACAGATGCTTTTTACGCGGATTTACATGTGTTTTTTGGACAGTGGGTAAGCACTGGAGCCCATACCCATTATTCTGGATGGCGGTGTTATGAGGCAAGGGTTGATGGCGATACGATCATCAGTAGGGGCGAGATGGCTTTGTTTTTACGTACTCAACTGCATTCTTGTATTTTATCTCGGGTGTTTTTTTTTATCTCCTGTTCATGGGATCTGGTTGACGGTTCTTTCCGATCGTGCTTCCAAGCATAGCTCATTGCGGGACAGATGGTCCCTTCAAGCGTTTGGCTTTCCATTCGACCTTTTTGGAACTGGCAAGATGGATGAATAGCATAGCAAGGATACCGATTTTTTCTTCTCTATTTTCACTTTCCTATCCCACCTCTCTGGATATGATTCTTTTTTTTTTCTCTAGTTCACTCGTGACATAGCTCCTACTGAAAGGTGTCGCTTTCCGAACAGGTGGGACGGCAACACAGCGACTCGGCCGCGTTTGGTGGCCGGGGCTGTCGCTTTGACTACTTACTGCTCGATGAGCATTCGCGCTTTGCTATGATTTGAGACGAATATAACTTTTAAGACACTGGCTTGGCAGAAATACAACATGTCCGTGGATATGATAAAGACGCCCAACGACTACCCGGTATAAATTCAAGTCTATCTAAGTGCTCATATAGTGTCCTGCCTATTCCCTCTGCTAACTGGCACAGGGTAATTCAGAAATTGCTAGGCGTATCCCACTGGTAACCCGCGGCGGAAGAAATCCAACCATGAAAAAGCGTCCTGGGAGATTTCAAGGTTGCTTCTCATCCTGAGGGTCCTCCTTGGATTGCTGGGCGGGTTTCTCCTTCTTCTCAGGGGTCTTGCCGGAAGCCTCCCCGGCATCAGAGTCCTTGCCGCCTTCCTCCGTCGTCTCGGCGGGCTCGTATGCGGCAAGGAGGGCGTCAAGCTTGGACTCGAGGTTGGTTAGATTCGCCTCGAGAGTGGAGGCTGCCTGTTCACCCCTAAAAAGGGGGGTTTATACCCCGAAATGTCAACATCACTCTGCAACGCCCGGCACGGCGGGAAGGATATATTTGGGCGTCCCCCAACACTCGTTGGCTGGACCTTTCGTGTTGCTCTCGCTTAAGAACCGGCGGGAATGGCAACGAAGGGCATTGGCAAGGGGTGATGTCAAGGCCTAAGAAGGCAGGATGGGGTTCAAGCATGGGCTCTACAGAATATATCCGCCTGCCCCCCCCCCGCATTCGTATATAGAGGATTGCGAAATGTGTCCGATAGTGGCACGAACACCGGCAAGAGGCCTGCTCCCGCGGTGATCAGTGTAGCTATTCCCCGTCAGGATGCTCCTCATAAGGTGAGAAAGCTTAGCCGAGCTGGGCGGAGGCTCGAGCCCAGCGCCCTTGGCCTTGGGAAATCAGCTGATGAGGGGAGGGTGGGATCGTGCAGTGGAGGACGTGGAAGCGCAAAGGGGGCACTCCTCGCGACGCTTGTGAAAGACCAGCCTGTAGGCAGAGAGAGTGTGGATGGGGGTGGGCGCATGCTTGAGGAGAATAAAGAAGGAGGTCAAGTACCTCAGAAGTTCCCGGTAGGCCTAGAACGTCCAGTCAGTTCATGGGGGAGGAGGGGCCAAGCGACGTTTGGGGGTCCAGGACGATGAACAGACAGCCTCATGGACTATGCGAGACGGGAGTCTTGGTGCAGGCGGCTTACCTGGGCTAGGTCATTGGCATCGCCCTGGGCCTTTGAAGACCCGGATGGAGCAGGGTCCTCTCTTGGGGCTGCCATGGGATGGGATGCGAGACGATATATGGACCCCGGGATGGGCTATTTGCGCTTGTGTCCCTCGATACGGCGGCCGGAAGCAGAGAAGGCGTGCGGTCTCAGTTATGTGTATGCGGTGTGATGGGGGACTGGGGTTTACAGTAGCATGGACGGGCGGGAACAGGCCAAGCAGGTTTTCGGAAGATGGACAATTCTAGATTGTCGATGCCGTTTGAATGCGAAATGGGGAAATAGGGAATTCGGATTAAGGCGTTGAGGTGGAGCGCTAGCGGTTCCGGTCCAGCAGCAGGGCACTGCCAGGCCACTGAGACCCCTGGAGGCTCAGCCTAGGCAGTGCAGGATGCCCACCTAAACCCCACTGGGGCTGACTGCTGGGGGCGCTGCGAGAGTGCTACAACCGTCCATCCCATTCCGCCCAGAATTAGTACATCCTGACTTATCGCTTGTTGCTGCCTCTTTGGTGGGAGAACGGAGCTTGGCACATGAACCAGCGCATGCCCTCAGCATTTGAAGGTGCGGTGTTTTTAGCACAGAGGATTATCATCGTAGGCCTTCCACGAGAATGCCAGATGTGTAAGTGATTGGGCAGAGCCTAAGATAGACCCTTGGGCCCAGGAATGTGCCTACGGCGATGGTTTCTTTGGGTACATGGGTATGATGAGTAAATACCCTCTACCACATCGAGATCACAATCAGGACTCGGCGTATCGCCAAATAGCTGGCCTATATCCGGGATTGCCACCTGGTATATCTGCAACCACTCAAACGGACATATGGCGGCCCGGATGAACACGACTCGCTGCTTCTGCAGGAGCGGGCGAAAGGTTCCAACTGGCACCATGTAAGCGGAGGTTCTTCATGCAACGCCATGCATTTTTGCTCTTGTCCAGGTCTGCCAAATCCAACAATAATATGGCTTAAAGAGTCGCCAAAACAGACCAATGAAGTCGGGGTGTCGGCATCTCTAGCGTGTATCCGGTGTGCGTGTGCTTGTGTGTGTGCTCTCGCGCGTCTGCCGACCTTCCCCTCGGTGGGTGCTACGAGCCGCTGGCGATCACAAAATACGTTAAGCATCACAATAGAGTACCATCGAAGTTTCCCATCTTCGATGCCGAATGGTCGCAACATAGATAGAAGGAGGCGGAAAGCTATCACCTGACGGGTTAGAATTGGATTCCGGCACACACTCAAAACATACGCCTCGTATGAAGAAGCGCCGGGGCCGTGAAGGTGATCGAGATCAGCACCTGGACTGTGGTGTGATGCCAAAATATTCTCTCTAAAATGGGCCATGAACGATTCAGTCCGATCCATTGACCCCATACGCTCACATGGTTTCTACAGCCTAACTGGCACAAGTGAACCTCCATGCTCTTCGTGGTGAGCTGATGCGGATTTATGATCCCGGTCAGCTCTAGTCGTCTCGCTTACTCTGGCGAACAATGGGAATGTGAGCACTGATGGATACTTCATGATCGATCATGAACAACCATTCTGTTCTTGATGGCTCGGACAATCGACAATGTGCAGGCCATTCTGTCCTGACTCGAAGATGCAGTCGTGCTTGGGCAATGGTGGGAGGTAAGTTCATAAAACTGGAGGCCAAGACGAAGCGGGCGAAGAATAAGCTCCGGCCAATGACTCGGCAGAGAGCTTCCATTCGGTCCCACAGCCAACGACGGGCAAGGGCCGGGTGTGGAGCCGGACAAGGAGGGACGTGCCTCAGTGACACTGGAGGCAGAGAAGACGTCGCCCATTGCCATCGGAAGATATGGTTCTGGCGAAAGCCAACCAGCCAACGGATTAGCGCTCGCCGACTGTCGTCGTTGGACGGCGGCGCAATGGGCTCTGCGCAAGGGCAGGGGGCAACCCATGACAACCTAAACAAAGCGATAGCAAAATATGCATGCTCTCCGCCTTCGCGATCCGCAAGCCAAAAGCTCGATCCCAACTGACAAGCCCTCACTAAGGCGATCAGGCACCCCACGGCAGGGGGGCGTCGTTAACACCACAGCCAGCCAGTCTGGTGGGCCAAGGTTGCAGGCTGCCACACGTCCTATACACCATGCAGTGTAATGTATAATAGTTGGTGCTCGACGCTGACGAGATCGAGATCCTCACCTCATGTAGTGTACGAGTACTGCCCGCGCTCTCTCTCGACGCAACACACTCGCTGCCTTGCACGTGCAATATCACGCACGCGCGCCTCCTCGCACACTACCTGCTCACTGGCCCTCGCACAGCACATGGTGCAATTGAGTGCAAACAGCCCTCGCCCGAGACTCGCATGTGCATCGCAACCCAGAAGCATCGAGGCACTGTTTTCCCGGGGTGCATGTGGTGTCTGGAGTTAGCACAAAGTGGCCCAGGCTACCGGATGATATCAGAACTAAGGGCTTCATCTCGATTGACACTCGATCATCGAACTGATGGAAGAAGGGGGGTGAGACCGCTCGTGGTATGCAGCGTCATAACATCCACGTCGCTCTAGCAGCCGATTACCTTCCCGTCATTCGTAGCGACCGGCAAAGAGGGGAGGAAACCCACGGTAAGCCACGAACCCCAACCTCCGGACGGAACCAAGAGCAGAGGCGCAAGCCTGTATCGCCTGGCTGTCTCAGTGCACCGGCCGACGATGCCTGTACATTGTAGGCTGGCGAAACCGTATTAGACGTGAAGTGCAAACCTACAAAACGATCACGATGAGCCGTTTGACAGCTAGACGGTGGAACCTGATGGGATGGTATAACCTTCTAGTTGCGTCTCGCCTGCTAGGTGAGGCATGGCGCCACACCCACCGGACGATGAGAAGACGTAGGTAGGTACAAGCAAGCTGCTGGGCCTTCTCCAGGAGGCAGCCAGCGCGGAGGCATATTGCAGGTACCTGCTACGCGGGCTAGTCGATCAGCGAACATGAACATGCGTTTTCTTCGATCCTTCCTTCCTCGCACTAAAATAGCAGGGAAGGTCGGTGCAGTGCAACCTTGAACAATGAAGCAGAGAAGGCGCGAAGGTCATGTCGCAAGGTTAGTTAAGGTAGTCGGGTCGTTGGCTCCTGCCAGCCCCAGCGATCAATAGCAGTATCTCGACTGGCCTCCATACCAATTGTCCCAATGGATGGATGCTTCCCGTCGGGTCGGTTATCTGCCTCCCAAAGGGCGACGGAGGCGAAACTAGACGCCTCTCTTGGTCGGAGCCCATCTCGATGTCCTTCCACAGCACACAGGGGAGCTGCCTGTCCAACAGAACAGCCCTGCGCTCGACGTTGGACGGCGGTCCCAATACGGCAATGGTGGTGTTTACCCAGAACCGCAACGCCATCGGCCATCGACTTCTGCAGGCCAATCTTTGCTCTTTGCCATGCTCGCGACCAGAGACCCCCATGCGTCTGGGTACGGGCTTGCCCATTACGTAGGAATGTCAAGGTCGAAGTTTGCCAGCCCCACCGCGCCCAGAAACATCCCAATCACACAAGCCCATGATTGATCGCCATCTTTTCTTTCATTGTCTCACACCCCCCCCTCGCTCGAGCTTCTCTGGTGCTCCGCCGGCTCCCAACGACTAGCCCACCTCGAGCTAGCATCATGGATCAGGCCATCCATCTACTGTTTCTTCTATGTACCTCCCCAAACCATGCATGCCTCATGGTCCTTGGACACGGGTTATTACGTAGCAGCAGCTAGCTCCCAGGCACGGGAAAGAGGACCTTGGAGGTGGCACACTCCCTGCAACTTGCAATTGGTGAAATGCACTGTCCAAGAGGAGCCCACCCCTCCATCGTCCAGCCAGCTCCAGATCGGCCACAAGCCCATCCTCCAATATTATTATTTATTCGCTGCGTCGTTGCTATCTCGAGCCAATTTCTGGAACTCGCTGCGGATTCCCGAGGAAGCCCAGGAAGCAAGCCTTCTTTTCCATCCATCAACCGCCCCTCTCACCACTCTCGGTCTCAACAGTCTCTGGATATCTCGACCCTGGCTGGCAGAGGTGCTAACAGGGGACATGTGCAATTTGACGTCTGCGACACAGTGAAAACGACCAACCTGGGAAAGCCACCGCTTCGTTCGTCCCAGTTCTATCCTACCACATAATACAACATCCGTCTAGGTTCTGGTCAAGGTTCGTCTTGCTTGCGAGTCTTATATCCAGCCCATCCTCCTTCCGTACCAGGGCATGTTCTTCGGGTTTGCTCGGCCTCATTCGACCAAACACTTGTGAGCCGCTGGCTGCTGCAGCGAACCTTCGGCGTCTCATCGATCTGGAAATTCCTTTTTTAGTCTTCAAAGTCCGCCTTTCTCCTTTTATCCTCGATCGGATTCGCCTCAGATCTCATCCGCATAACCCAGCCTACCAGTGGCGGGAAAACCCCTCTCGTGCTTGCATCGAGATGCACAAATCTGTCACCACCTTTTAATGACAGCCTCTCCTCTCCCCTGAGATTCCCCTTCTTCATCGTCCAGCAAACATCATCCCTCCCACAAGACATATACTTCTTCGATTGGCCTTTCCCGACTTGCCAACCGACAACCAAACTGCCCTGGGCTTATTCTGTACTGTACGTATCGTCATTTACCCCATTCTTAGCCGTTTGGGAGCATTTCCTCCGCACCCTATCTTCCTCTCACCTGAACGAGTGAGCCCCCTCCCACCGAAGTATGCCATAGGCAAGGCCGGCAAGCAGAACCTATATGTATCGATTATACCTGGGTCTCTCCTTACTAAATCCCTCTGAAACACTTTTCGATTCCCCAATCTCCCCAAGATGCACTCCATTCTCGGTTCTGCAAATCACATAAGGCTGCGCCGTTCCACCTGGGGCACTTCAGGCCATCCCCGTCAACTGCATCTGACTCGGTGACGTATGTAGCCAGGCCCGAGCTGGCGGCCGCCGATCACTTACACCACCACAACCCTGGCAAACCTCCTCCTTACACGCTTTCAACACCTCAACCTCGATGCTTGCACTCCTCCCCATACTCTTCATAGTTGTCAATTTCATGGACATCCATCCGTCCTCCTTTTCATAAAAAGCTGTGTGTGCTTGGCCTCTCACAAAACATCCCCCTCACCATCCCAGCTTCTCTCACTGATACTAACACTTGTACGCTCCAGGCATCACCATCAGAGCAGTCATACAGGTATCCTTGGACTATATTGTGTTACCGATGATTTCCACACCTGCTATCCCACAAACTCAATTACATACCCCTTGCCGTGGTCCTTGAGTGGCCTGATGGCGCATAACCTTGAGGGCACGTTCAGGGAACTGGGCCTAGCTCAGTATCTCGACGCATTCGTTGACCAAGGATTCGACACATGGGATACCATCCTTGATATCCAGGAATCCGACCTGTAAGACACGATATCGTTTCGGGTGACTGTAAGTTGTGATGGGCCTTGACTAACTCTTGCCGCAGAGACGCTTTGGGAGTGAAATTAGGGCACAGAAGGGTACGTCAGGATTCAACGTTTGGCCATTCCTTGGTATATTTAATAACCCATCACAGAAATTACAACGGAGAATCGCAAATGCACGAGGCATTGCCCCCAGTGTTTCACTGGCTTCAACCTCAAAGGCTAGCCCCGATGAAGCAAAACAAGACGGCACACGACCAGTTCAAGTCCGCCACGAATGCAACCATGACGGAGCAGGTGTAACAAAGCGGAAGTACCGCCGGCATCCCAAAGTATGCCTCGAACAGTCGATTCTTGCTCGCCACTGCTAATGACCCTCCTAGCCTGATGAAAACGCTCCAGAGCGACCCCCCTCTGCTTACGTGCTCTTCTCAAATAGTATGCGCCTATACCGACCCATCCGAGGGGATAATACTAACCTATGTTTTTTATCAGAAATGAGAGAAGATTTGAAAAGCCAGAACCTCACCTTCACGGAAATTGCAAAATTGGTCGGCGAGAATTGGCAATGTTTACCAGCACCCGAAAAGGAAGCCTACGAGTCACAGGCAAATGCAGCCAAGGACAAGTACCATCGCGACTTGGCGGCGTACAAGAAAACGCCAGAACATCGAAAATATGCCCAATACTTGCAGGAGTTCAAAGAGAGACAAGCAAAACAGGGCCAGGGTGAGTCATGAACACGCAATAGACCATGACGACAACCAAGCTAATTATAGTTATAGATACGAAACGATCCAAGGTAGAGCCAGCCAGGCTACGGCATGGTAGTACGAGCAGCAGCGCGACTCCTGCTAGTGGAGTTGCCAGTGGAAGTGGAAGTCTGCGAGGAAGCCGGAGTAGTAGCGAACGGGTGCCAGAACGCGAGCATTCCCCAACACGACAAGAGAGACTGGGCTCAACGGCATCTACCATTGAGCCCTTGCATTCATCTACAGGCCCAATCTCCCACTCCCGCCGTCTCTCTTTGGACGACCCTGCTATCTCGCCAATGACGACAACCTTTGACGCTGGTTCAGGGAGAAGGAGCATGGACGGCGCTTGGCATGCGAGCGCGAGGGTGGCTGAGTCTGGCAATCAACCACTCCCATCGCTATCTGACATACTGGACGATGGGAGACCTAACCCGATAGGTATCCCGCCTGGCCTTGAAACAAACTCAAGTGTGCCAGGATTTCTCCCGATCAACCAACGTCTCCCTCTACTTGGCGAGTCACCAGCAAGGCACCGGATCCCACTCCTTCATCACGAATCATCATCGAATGGAAGTAGTGTGTCGGGCAGTTCCATCAGCAGTTTTGCACAATCTTCTACGGATGGACCACTTCCAGCACCATCATTACTGTCCAACAATAAGCGTTCACCACCTTTTAGCCAGAAGCTCTCGCCAGTACTTGCAACTGCCCCGCCTGCGATTGCAGCGCTCCCGGCCCCCGGGGTCATGGCAAGCTACGGTGCGAAACTCCTTCCCATGTCATTATAAAGAGGGAGGATCTAACTTGAAATTCCAGGCTTACCGATCCCTCTAGCATTACACCAAATCCGAAAGACAGAGCCCCAGCCGAACGACAGCGACGTCATAATGTCCGCGGCGGGGCCAACATCAGGCTCCCCCTCCAAAAGAGATGGCTTTGACGGAATGAGTGCTTTGCTAAGGGCCGGTGAGATTGTTGGGCAACACACTTCTGGGTGAGCCAACGACACCGTGTCATTTTCTTATACTTGTCCTTTTTTTTACACGACACCATTGGTTTGGATTGGGTATTTGGGACCTTCAGATACCGCAGTAGTACATTGGGATGGTTCGCGAATCTGTGCCGGCACAGTGCACAAAATGTTATGATATTCCTATACTTTTGGGGTTGGGTGGCATCAAGTCATGTCGTTGTGGCTGATTACGGCGTTGAGGGTTACATTTGGAAACAAGAAGGTTTGGGTTGCATGAGAATTCTGTTATGATTACTAGGTACACGTCATGTTGTCTTGTGTTGTACTATTATTATACGATCTACAAGTATGACCAAATGAGAAAAAACGCAGATTTGGGCGAAAATTTACTCTGGGCTCAACGGGTTTCGTTCTTTTAAGGTTCGTCGTCGTACATGATGAAACTCAATCCAAGCTTAATTTAGGCCTGAGCCTCAGGGGAAACGTAGAAGGAAGGGCGAATGAGAGCGGCCCTGCTGATCTGACTCGGGCTGATGGACGGCCATCCATCCAAGGAGAGGCCATATGCGAACGGCAATGCGTCACCCGTTCGAGGGCGATGGAACGGCGGGTTGGGCCTCGCCAGCGGACCCCGTCGTACGTCATAGCGCATCCGGTTTGAAGCCCATGCCTTGATGCGCGCCAGTTGAGATGACGATTGGCTGGTGGGACGCGGAGGGTCCCGGTTCGGTCCCTCCCCCACAGTCCTGCAGGTCCGTTGAAGGGGGGGGGTGTAGCCTGTCGGGCACCAAGAGGACCACGGTATGTAGAGTAGAGTAGGTATTCACGTCAGGGAGGATCAAGGCAAGTGGGAGAAGTTGGCTCCAAGCTGGAGGAGAGGTGCCAAGCTGACCACACCCCTGTATTTCCGGACCGTTTGACTCAGGGCCCCTGGACGTGTTCCTGGGAAGAAGGGTAGGTAATTAACGAATTCGGGAAACCGTGGCATTGCAAGCAAAATGTCTACCGACGGCGCTGTCTAACCCCACGCTGCGGCACATCACTTCAAAGAAGACAGGGGTAGCAAGAAAACATGAATAAAAATAGGGACATTAAACGCGTTGCTCATAGGCCTTGATCCTGAAAGCCTGTCCGTAACAAAATCTCAGCTACACTAGTTGTCATCACTCCGTGAATAGATTACTCGTCATTCTTCCGTAGCCTCGGCCGTCCAGTCCTTTCGAATGTTCAGCTCTGCCAGGTCCTCTGTCTTCTCAATCACCAGACCCTTCTCGTTGGCCAGGTGGAGCAGAGAGATGAAGCAAAAGGACGTGGAGATGTCTTCCATGATTTTCTTGGGGTAGACGGTTTTTAATCCGTTCATGACTGACGTGAACTTGAGTGAAGGATCGCCCACACCTGGGAGTGGTTCGTCATCAGCTGGCGTGGGTGGTGCCTGGGAAGAACAAGAAATGTTAGCTTCGACTCAATACTGGTGGATTATACACAAGTTCTTACCTCGAGATCGCTGAAAGCCATTCCGCGCCAAATCTCCTCCTTGAGTCGCCGCACATCAACCTTCTTGGCTACCCTAGCATATTGGACGTATTCAGGTCGTATCCTCCTCGTCTGCGTGACGAGCGTTGTGCCAAAGGCACCGGTCATTGCATTGGTCATCTCGCCGCCCAACTTGGCCGTGATACCGACTCCCTCGGTCATACCCGCGTCACCGTTGAGATCTGGGGAGAAGTGCTCGCGGGCATCAGCAAACTCCAAGTCATCGTCATCGTCATGACCAGCAAAAGGCAAGCCGTCATCTTGGAAAAAGTCGGCATCGTAGTCGCCCTGGGGCGCTACCGTATCATCATGGCTGTCCAGAGGATCCCTCTGGCGCGCCCAGAAGGCCTCGTCCAGGTCGCCAGCTTGGAGGCTATCTGCGACAGTTGCCGCAATACCCCGCCCACCAAACCCAACTTTTCGCTGACCAATCCGCGCCTTGGGCTTGAGGAAAAGACTCAAGAGCGATCTGGAATGGAAATGCTTGTCGTCAGGAAGCAGGTGACGCGACTTGGATTTCCATTGACTCTTGGGTATGCTAATTGCCGCGTTGTTGGCGGCTTGCGCGTAGAGTAGATCGTGCATGGCTGAATCCGTCGGGGCGTCAAAATCAATCTGGAAGGGCTCCTTTTCTTTTCTTTTCTTGGTCTCGGTGGGCTTGCTGCTGTCCTTGATCTTTCTGATTCTCCAGTGCTCGGCGCTGGTCCAGTTCTTTTTGAGCGCTTGGTCGAAGAAGCTAAGGATGTCCTCATGCGCCTTCTCGCTCTTCCGCGGATCAGTCATTGACACGACATACTCGCCCTTGTCAGTGTACCCATCAGCTTCACCGTCTATGCCTTCCTCTCCAGCATTGTATACACGCATATGTGGTTCGAGAGCTGCTTCTCGAGCCCAGGCGTCTCCTCCTTCACCGAACCCAGGATCAGCTCCCCTACCATAATCACCAAGCCCGAGTTCGTCATCGTCATCAAAACCAGGGGCATCTCCTTCTATGAGCATCCCAGATCTATCTCCGTTGGCGGCAGCACCTTCGCCATCCCTGTCTTGTCGCCAATCGTCCGGTGCTTTGAGAAAAGGAATGTCCGTGGAACCCGAGGGGTCACCAATGTCAAAGTTTTTGAGCGACGGGCACACATCAAGCTCATCGAGGAGACTCAGTTCCGGGAAGTACCTCTGCCGCAGAGACACTAAGTCGATTTCAACGGCAGCTTCGTCGTCATCCTCATCCAATTCAGGGACTTCCACTTCTTGGCCGAGCTCCTTTGTTGTGTTTCCCATTTCTGTGTCATCAGCCTCCTCGTCCTCTGCCTCCTCCTCGTTGTGATCGTCTTGCTTCTTTCCAATGGCCGCCTCATCAACCGAGTCGTCGCTGCTGTCAAAAACAATGCGGCCCTGCGAATCGATCATGAGATGATTAAGAAGAAGCCCCTTGGCACCACCCTCGTCAAAGTCGGCAGAGGCCTTTTTGAATAGAGGGTCGACCGCAAATTCAAGTTCGAATTTCTTGAGCTGTATCGAATTGAAAGAAGGTGCCAGGGTTGCTTCCGAGGATCGTTGCGACTGTGGCCATTGTCAGTAATATAATCGGTGGTGAAAATACACAATAGTTTACCTTCTTCTTGGGCTTCTTCTTCACATTTCCATCCTCATCAAGTTCCTCTTCGCTTTCCTCCCCGTCCTCTTCCCGATCTTTCTTCTTACTACCGCTATCCGCCAAGCCGCTGAGGAGTTTGCCAGTCTCAGTAGCAACACTGTCCACTCGGTTGGTGTAAATCTTGACGCAGCCATCGAGGGTGCAGCTGGCCTTTTGAAAGTTGACGCTGTCTCCCTCTTTCAGCAGCGACATGTCGTGGAAGTAGTCGATGAGTGCAAAGTTCCAGGAGTTTGTTGCGTTGATCTTGTTGTCGGTAGCCATCTTCATCCACTGCTCGAAGTTGGCGAGAATCGGCACGCGCTTTCCAGGCGTGGTGCCAACGGCGAAGGGATCATCTCCATCGTCCAGGATGGTTCCCGCACGCACTCCCCTTGGCGTCCCGGGCCCAGGCCCCGGGGTGGCATTTTCGAGGTCCTCCAGCCTGGCGCTTGCTTTGCGCGGGGTCGCGGCAGCTCTGATTTCGTTGATCTGCTTCTCTTGCAGGGCCTTCCGCGGGTTTACACGTTTTCCTCTTTCCTGAGCATCGTCGTTGAGGGGGATTCTGGAGGGGGCGGCGATTTCCAGGTCAGTAAACATTGGGCCGGCGGTCTGGGTCGGTGAGGGGCAACGGAATGTGCTCGGCGCGTGGCCAGGCAAGAAACAATTCAATCGGCGGGCACTACTCACTTGATCGGCGACTTATATGGCGATACGGCAGAACCAGACGTCGCCCTGACGCTGCTGGCACGGGGCACTTGAGCGACCCGAGGCATTGTTGTGATGAATGAATGCGGAGCTCGAGGGAGAATGAATGTTTTGATGGATGCAGGCCATGCAGCTAGACGGGCAGCTCTGGGGCAGTTGGCCAGGGATGGTGGCTGTATGCTTCGTGCGTCTGTGCCGCGCGCGTGTTTGGGCAAAAAGGGTTGTGCAGCAAGTGTTGCGCCGCCAGAAAGTAAACAAACCGCTTCAGTGCCCAGTCAGACGCTGGAAGAAGAGTGTCTAGCGGTGGGGGTAGAGGCGCCCAACCGGTTGAGGCCAAACAAACACAAAACACCGCCAGGGGTCGGCTAGCGATGCATGTGCGTTTCCCTATTGCCGGTAGAGAACAATAAAGCCCGTCGTCAGCCTACCCGGGAGTGGGGTAAGAGCTTCGGGCGGGCAGTCACCCACTTGCCACATCACGATGAAGGAGACCAGGGCACAGTGAATGGCCCAATATCGTGCTACCTCCCCTGTACGCACCCCGTCGCCAGCGTGGCTGAGCAACATTGAAGGTTTGTCCTACTACCGATTAGGCAGGCCTCGCTGGGTTGCAGTTGGTAGCCACTGATTTAGGCCGCTGCCCAGAAATGAAGGCCCCATATTACAACCGTCGGAGTAGCGCATTATTGGGCGAGCCAACTTTCACAGGCCTCCGGCAAGGTGTGGCGGAAGCAATCATGATAAGGTATGTAGTGATGGTGCGCACCGTCATGACGCACCATTTCAACGCATTGGGTTCCGTCACATAATGTAGCATTCGCCTTCGTAGCACTCGGCATTCGTTGTTCAGACATGGTCGCTTTCCTTTTATCCTTAATAGTCGTTTACTTCTCTAATCAATCATTCCTATCTATTTCCTGTTTCCCAATCATCTCCACACCGCGCTAGACCCGTCGACCAGCGAACGAGCAAACATCCGGAAGCACGCGACATTCCGCCGTTGATCCCGGATACGAAACCAGCCGAGCAACGACCACAACGATATGCTGCGCCGGTCCATGACATGACAGCCTCTTGGAGAGAATGAACCGCCATCGCACACGCTTGCGGGGGAGCCGCTTGAGCTCCCGACCTTTCTACACCACCGTCTTCCTCCTATCGCTGCTCGTCGCATACTCGTTCCTGATCCGAACCGGCCGCGGCGCAAACCATAACGGCGTGGACAACGGTCTGCTGAGAAAACGGGGCGAGGAGCCAGAGTGCAGCGAAGTCCACCAGGCCAAGGACAAGTGCGCTTTCGTAAAGCAGTACTGCGCCGACGACGATGCGGGCCTCATTCCCTACCTGACCCTCTACTTCTGCGGCTTTGCCGGTGCCAAGCCCGTGGCCCTGATCATCCTCGTTGGCTGGCTCGGACTGCTCTTCACCACAATCGGCATTGCAGCAAGCGATTTCTTCAGCGTCAACCTGAGCACAATTGCCACCATCCTGGGCTTGAGCGAAAGTCTTGCTGGCGTGACGTTCCTCGCTTTCGGAAATGGCTCCCCCGACGTCTTCAGCACCTTTGCTGCCATGGGTTCTAATAGCGCCAGCATGGCCGTGGGAGAGCTTGTTGGGGCCGCTTGCTTCATTACTGGTGTCGTGGCTGGCTCCATGGCCCTCGTCAGGGAGTTCAGGGTCGACAAAAAGACATATGCGAGAGATATATGTTTCTTCATCGTGGCTATCTGCTTCACCATGTACTTTCTTGCCGACGGTCACCTTAGGTTCTGGGAATGCTGGGTCATGATCGTGTACTACATCATCTATGTCATCACCGTCGTCGGTCAGCACTGGTGGATGTCGCAACGTAAACGCCGCCAGCGACGAGAAGGCGAGGCTCGTAGCCACGTCTACTCGTCACTTGGGACGTCAATCGATGAGCTGGCAGGAGAACCGTATAGGGATGACCCTGATGATGTAGACCAGTCTTCTTCATCGACTCCAGACATATCAGCCTTGGAGACTGGACCAAGAATCGACGTTGATGTCCATCCTCCCGACTCCGTTGACGATGAAGAAACAGACGAGCAGGCTGAAGAAGACTTCGAGAGGATGCTAGCTGCAGAGGTAACGAGCAATATGCGAGTTTTGCGTACGAGGAAAAGGCGAAGCAACACGATCAATCCAATTCGCCCAAGTCTGGTGGGTGCTTTGGAGTTCAGATCCGCCCTGGCACATTTGCAACGGGAGAGTAACCATAGACTGTCAACAATTCATGGGCACGGTCGGAGCTACTCGGAAGCGCAATTCCGTCGGGCGCGAAGTTACACAGGAGAGCCCTCCCTGCTCAGCCCAAACACCATCTCCGGCCACAGTGAGCTGCGTGGAGCAAGATCTCGTGCGTTATCGTCCGGAAATGCTCCGAGTTCGCTGGGCGTGCAACCCCCCCTTTTCGTTCATACAGAGGGATTCGAAGACTCCGCGGATCACCAAATACACCCAAGCCAAGCGACTCTAAGCCCGGTCCCAGTGTACACCGTTGGTGGGAGCCTGGCTCCGCCACCTGTACCACCACCTGGAGGTTCTCTCAGTCCTGGCGGGAACAGTGTCGCCAGCGATGGGGCCTCGACATTTTCAAACTTTCAGGGCTCCCCGAGCCGCCGGAGCAGTCACAGCATATCACCCCCTGGCTCGCCGTTCCCAACGTATACTGACTCGCCGGATGCTCTCTCTCCCGGAACTCGAACGCCGCATTTGCATGAACGATCGGACGCGATGTTGCCATCCCCAGGCCTGCGCGATCTTCCCTTTGGCGATCTTCCTTCCCCAACAGATCATCCGCGACCGGTCAGTTGGTGGCCATACTGGATGCTCCCTCCGCCACACGTACTTTTTACAACCTTGTTTCCGACGCTCCAGGGCTGGAGGGATAAGGCCATTTGGGACAAATTTGTTAGCACCATATCAGTGCCCAGTATTTTCCTCTTGGTCATCACATTGCCCGTCGTGGAGGGTGAATCGACAGAAGATAGCTTCGTGGCTGAAACTCTAATGGACATAGCAAGTGTGCGAGCGACAGAGCCCCCTTCTGGAGTTCCGCCAGTCGTGGTCGAAACAGCGCCCGAGGATGACGAGAGTGAGTGGGAGCGTTATGCCAGCAGCAGGCGCAGTCGAGCTCGAAGCAGCAGCTACTTGCCATCTCGAGACATCTCCCCCCTTAGAATCACGTTCCAGAATGAAGACACTCTGGTTGCTGGACCTAGCACAGAGGGAACCAGGCCCTCAACATCGCTAAGCGGAAAACCGGCTTCGGAGTTCCCCTCCATGAGTAACGCCAACGACGAGTGCCTATCGTGGAATCGTTGGCTGGTGTGTGTTCAGATATTTACTGGGCCGCTCTTCAGCGTTCTGATACTTTGGCTAAATTTCCGTGAAGACTTGGATTCACCCGGGAGGGTGGCTGTAAAGATGGTTTTATTCACACTGCTCGGGTCTTCGGTGCTTCTCGCTCTTTTGCTCTCTTTCACGTCTGAGGAGACGCGGCCCAAGTATCACTATGTCCTCTGTTTCATGGGGTTCATCATCAGCATCGCCTGGATCTCAACCATCGCCGGGGAGGTCGTCGGAGTTTTGAAAACATTCGGGATTGTCCTAAACATATCGGAAGCGCTTCTAGGCCTTACCATCTTCGCCGCGGGCAACAGTGTTGGGGATCTCATCGCAGACATCACGGTGGCGCGCCTGGGCTATCCAGTGATGGCATTGTAAGTCTTGGACACCGGCTCCGATCACCAACGCTACAGACTATAGAAACTGGCTAACAATTACGCTAACAGGGCGGCTTGTTTTGGAGGACCCATGCTGAATATCCTCCTTGGAATTGGAATCGGAGGTGTCATGATGATGATACGGTCGGCCTCTCTCGACCACAAAAACCACCCTGATCAGCCCTACCACTATGGGCCATATAATGTCCAGGTCGGGGCGACTCTTTTCATCTCGGCCATCACTCTGCTGGTGACTCTTGTTGGGATGCTCATCATTGTGCCCATGAACAAGTGGGTTCTGAGTCGCAAGATCGGGTGGACGCTGATTGCTCTCTGGGCAGTGACCACCGTTTTGAACGTTATCATTGAGGTAACAGGCGTTTGGGGGCAGCTAGATTAGCTGCGATGGACGTGACGATACCTTACCGACCCAATCCACGTTAGGCCACCACATTCGCGAGTAGTTGGATGTGTGTCTGCATATTTGCATAGCCGTACATATAATAGCACCGTACATAGAGGACACCAAACATGTCTATAGATGCATAAACGTGGTACATTGCAGGCCAGTGTGAGGTTCTGGCCTAGTGTTACATGGAGCCAACCACCAAGTGCCTAGCTGCAACAGTAGCCACGTAATTATTCCATGTCAATAGAAATATCCATATGAAATGGCCAATAAGGAATGGTACGACGTATGCCTGAATAGCGGTCAGCGATGCCTCACACACCACGCCATGCATGCCATTAGGAGGAAAAGGGAGGCTTCAATAGCCCCTGACCAGTCGAGCAGAACCCCACCTTCCTTTGTTGGATTACCATCTGTCTGCCCCGCAACCCCTCCTTCTCTATTTTCTATTGACTACCCTGCACAAGCTATCCTCAGCTTGAACTCCAACTCTCCAACCTAATCCTAACTTGTCTACATCGTCAATTCTTGGTCTGGTTCTCGAGATCCTCATCTTTCTCTCCCTAAAAGGTATGTTAACTCGAAGAGAATCCATTGACCTGCTCACAGTGTAATACCCAAAACTGGCAACAGAGCTAACCCGTCCCCTTCATCAGAAAGCTCCAGCACACACCACAATGGCAGCTCAACCATCCTACAGCCCCTTGAACGAGCGTCCTCTCAAGGACACCATCTGCCTCTTCGACGTCGATGGCACACTCACTCCTGCCCGTCTGGTACGGGACCCCAATTGCCCTATGCTCATTGCCCGGCCATGCCTCGTCCTGACTCCTTAACTAGGGCGCCTCCCCGGAGATCCTCGCCCTCCTCCAGTCCCTCCGCCAAAAGTGCGCCATCGGCTACGTGGGCGGCTCCGACTTCTCCAAGCAGGAGGAGCAGCTCGGCAAGCCCGCCGGCACCCCCGTCACCACCCTCTTCGACTTCTGCTTCGCCGAGAACGGCCTGACCGCCTACAAGCTCGGCCAGGCCCTCCCCTCCAACAGCTTCATCAAGTGGATCGGCGAGGACCAGTACAAGGAGCTCGCCAGCTTCGCCCTCCACTACATCGCCGACCTCGACATCCCCGTCAAGCGCGGCACCTTCATCGAGTTCCGCAACGGCATGATCAACATCAGCCCCATCGGCAGGAACGCCTCCACCCAGGAGCGCCACGACTTCGAGAAGTTCGACAAGGAGGCCAAGGTCCGCGAGGCCTTTGTCGCCAAGCTCAAGGAGAGGTTCGGCCACCTCGGTCTCAAGTAAGCGCCCGCCCTGCCCCTCCTGCGACCCGAACTTTCCAAATTTACCTCTCTGTTCGCAAATCATGTATTAACATAACCCGTGCTTTAGCTTCTCCATTGGAGGCCAGATCTCCTTTGATGTCTTCCCCGTCGGCTGGGACAAGACCTACTGCCTCCGCCACCTCGAGGAGGATGCCCAACGGCCTGGCGGCATCACGTACAAGAACATCCACTTCTTTGGCGACAAGACCTTTGAGGGTGGCAACGATTACGAGATCTTCTCTGATGAGAGGACGATTGGACACTCCGTCAACAACCCCGACGACACCGCTCGCATTGTCAAGGAGACTTTTGGAATTTGATCATCTATACGCGAGAGAATGTCACAGGATATAGCGCTCGGCGAAGCTCCTTCCCCAAACCACTAATAGAGAGAGAAAGTAGCCGAGGAGAAGAAAAGGGAATAGAGGGAGATCATACCCAGGCTATCTGGTTTAGAGCGATTTATACGACACCCAGAGACGGATGCGAGAAATCAAAAACAAATAGAGAGAAAAGAGATGATACAGCAATAACGAGATCATGAAACGCACTACCTCATCTACCAGCTCCTTAGTTTCTAAGTAATTGTGATTGAATTCATGCGCTCTCAAGTAATTATAAACGCCTGGATATATAGGAGTGCCTTATTATAGCAAGTAAATGCAAACTGGCATTGGCCTGGGTTCTCATCCCATAATGCGAGCATATCCAAAGAGAAGTATATACAGTGTTCCCCGCATCGTCTCCCTTCCTATATTTCTTCCTCTTACCGGCCAAACTCCAGATGAGGAATTATAACCGGGCCATACTTCGTAGGTGCGGTATAGGCGCCGTCCCCCTGGACCACAAAATCTACTGCTAAGCTGAGCTTAGATAGACCTTGTTGTTGTTGACCGTTCAAGGCCGGGTTGTTGCTAAATGGAAGTAGGGCGGCTGCAGCATCCGGATCATAGGCAACCATCGCCACATAATTTCTTCTACCCATCAGCTTCTTCAACTCACGCGCAGTGCCGCTGGCATCATTGTGGAAAATCTCCATCATGTCCTCTTTCGTGTCTGAAACCTCATGCGTTGATTTCTGTCCGTTTTGAGGAACATAAAGTGTCTTCTGATTGTGCAGCATCTTTAGTACGTAGTTGCTTTGAGGTGCTGCAACTATGGGGGAGGTGATAATTTGGTACATTGTCTTGTGATCCCCAGGGTGAGTTGGATCATGGACAAGACCTGCACCGGCGGCACTGACATCTGGTTTGGAAGAGTTAGTACAAACATTGGTATCAATGTGGTGGCTGATGTGACTACTTACCTCCAGAAAGGAATGTCATACGAATACCCTTTTGATGCGAGATGCCCTGAAGGGTTCGAATGAAGTATGTCCTCTCAAGATCCTTGGTCTCATGAGTCCACAAGTCTTTAAGGACCTCTTGAATATCGAGTTCACCAAACTGATTTAGTACGTTGCCCATGAGACCCGTTTTGCCAACGGCTTTCTTCACATGGCTAAAGCCCTGGGCAACCATGTCCTTTTGGCCAACCACGCCTGCAACAGAGCTGGTCACTTTGCCGAGGATGTTATACGTAGTGTTGACAGCCTTTTTACCCGCAGCTACGGTATTTGCCAAACTTTCGACTGTATCCAGCCTGGGGTACACGAGCGGGACCGACACCATCCAGATACAGTGCTGCACTGAAGGTGGCAGAGTTGCGATTTTGGGGAAGATGCCCTGATACGTTGGGCCCGCTAAAACTCGAGCTTGGCTTCTCTCCGACCTACAATCTGGCCCGACTGCAACGAGGGCTGGGCCGAGATGTTTGACGAAATGCCAACCGGTTCCAGTGATGGTAAAAACATCACTGTCCGTGCTGACATTGCGCATCAGCTCTGCAGTGGTGTGATGCTGGAAGAGTAGGTACATCTCGGATGCAATCCGTCCAATGTTCTTGAATATTGGTGATGATTGCATATAATCAGGGTAGGAACCGAAACCGTCGAATCTATAAGACCCGAGTTAGAAATAAAAACGAAGAAACTCGAAAAGCATCCTGTACTCACATATCATGATCGTTGATCTGCAGAACATGGGGGATTTGAGCAAAAGCTTCCCTCATGAAGGGTTGGTCAAAATGACTGGTATAGTAGTGAAAGTAGGCATGAGCCACATCCTCCTCATGTCTTGCGGTCCATTGCACATTCTTTCTATTATCTCTGCCGCTCAGGGCCAGCCACTGTCTTAAAATAGGCACCTCTTTCCAAAGTCTGTCGCCGTAGATTTGGTCACCAAGACCTAGCTGAACGTGGAAGCCGTTGCAGTCTACGTTCTTTTGCAGGACGTCTTTCCACATAAAACCAACGCCACCGAGCTTAGCTCTGTCGTTCTGTGAGGTGGTACTGGCAAAATCATTGCCGGAGTGTGCGATGAACCGCCAATTAGTTTCATGCCTGCCCGCCACAACGAATTCATACCGAGTGCAGCCCAGATGTGAGGTGACGGCGTAGGTCCATCGTTCTGTCCCGGCCTCGCTCATCTGTAATTCTATATCATACTTGTGGAAGGACCACCGCTGATGAGTGAAAATGATGTGTGGTTGCAGTAGTTGAGGATTGGGCGAGAGGTCGTGGCTGAGGTGAAGGTGAATGGTAGGAGGTTGAGGCGAATCACTGACAAGGAGAATACTCCCTTGCCATAGGCCTTTCTCTAGATCCATATTTCCATATCTCAAATACGGGCCAAAGTACACTCCGTTTGTTGGCTGAATCCGGAACATATCAACACCCGCACTCGGGGGCGGCCCAGTAAACCCAATAGTTGATGGTGCCTGAGACTGTGCGACGCTCATGATACTCTCTGCATAACCGGGAGTGTGCGGTGAGAACATGGGAGAAGCCAAGGCTTGCTTCCCACCAAACATGGGTGAGACGAGTGGGTTCCCATACGTTGACGCACCGGGAGACAGTGGCGCCTGCTCATGAGAAATCGGATTTGGCCCTTTGGGGAACTCCCATTGCGTTGACTGGGTGGCAATATGAATGTAATAGTACTGACCAGAGTTCTGGTCGAGATGGGCCATCCAGCCTTCAGGGAGAGGTGGCGGTGATGCTGGCATTGTCGACAACATAGACGGACCAGCAGCGGCAGGTTGGGGACTTTGAATAGGTTCCTCCGGCCGAGGGTCATTGGCGAAAGCTGGGTGCCCAGGATGCTGGGCAGCAGATGCTGCGGTTGCCATCACAGCAACAGGATGTTTTTCAGGGGTTGAGTTGCTCACTGGCTGGGTTGCAACAGCGGCAGCCTGAACTTGCTGCTGCTGTGGTTGCTGCTGTGGTTGGGATTGTTGGGCCTGCTGCTGCTGCTGCTGCTGCTGAGGCTGTGACTGTGGTTGTGCCTGTAGCTGCTGTTGCTGCTGTGACGATTGGCCTTGCTGAGCTTGTTGCTGTTGCTGTTGCGCAGCGGGCTTTTCATTTGGGTAGGATGATTTGCCACCAGGATTGACACTCGAGTAGGCTGGCGGAGGAGTCTTTGTACTCAGGCGCTGAAAGTCTTGTTCAAGCACACTGACCTGGAGAGCTGGATTGTCGGGGTTTTGAGATTGCTGTTGCTGGAGCTGGGCCAGCTGCTGTGGAGTAGGCTGCTGTGGCGCCAATTGGGCCTGTTGTGGTTGAGGACTTGCAATGGCATTGGAGCCTTGGTAGACTGTTGGTGGTCCTGATGGAGCTTGATCTGGAGTCTCCGTGGGAGTCCATGGCCTCTGAGGCTGTTGCTGCTGTTGTTGGGCCGGCTGACCTCCGTACTGGGCAAGTCTCTGGGACGCAGCAGCACTTTGCACTTGGGATGCTTGTAAGCTGGTAAGAGTGGCAGTTCCAGATATACCAGATGCCGCATACCGAGCTTCGATACCATCAGCAGGGGTATGGCCGGGCTCAACGATTGGTGTTTCTGGAGGTGGGGGAGAACCGCGACTTGCTCTCGTCGTAGATATCGATGAGGTGGAGGCAAATCGGTTGACGCCACCTTCAGATAGTCTTTGCTGACCATTCGTCTGTTGTTGGTGTTGTTGCTGTGGAGGATGTGATGCGGCCCCAGGGGGAGGGTAGTATGTTTGGTTCTGGTACGTTGGATAGTCAACAGATGATGCGGCTGGTCGTGGCTGCTGCTGAAGTGGCCGTGCGAATAGATCCTGGTCGGCGCCTGGGCTCGTTGGTGAGCTAATAGGCGAACTTATCGGCTTTGGCGCAGTTCCTCTTCGCTCCGCCAGACCCGGCTTCTTATCAGTAGGGCTCTCTATGCGAGGACTCGTGTCGTTATAAGAAGAACCGTAGGCTTGCAGGGGTGAAGGTCGTCGTACGTCGTCGTCGACCGGGAACGGGAGCGGTGCAGCAGAGCTCGAGGCGCCAGGAGGTAAAGGAAAGGAAGGGCGAGAGGGAGGAGAGGTGGATGATGGCGGGGCAGGGTAGTGATATGTAGAGTGTTTCTCTACAGGCGTAGGAGACTGAGGTTTGAAGATGCGCAACGGCTCGATGGTTGGGCTATCGGGGTCATTATCGGGCGCGTCTTGCTTGAGGAAGAGTTCCTTGTCTGGTATCCCACGACTACGCTCCATGATGGCTGGTGTTGGACAGCGTCACAGACGCAGGGTCCAATAGGGCTAGGAGCTCTCGGTGTATGTGTGCGCGTGTGTAAGACTTTGGGGGCGCGGGCCGCTTCTGAGGCGGCCAGGAGTCTTTTTTTATCGATTCTATAGCTCGTAGCGTCGGGCCGCGGGGGAAATGTACCAGGGCCGTGTTTGGAGGTTCTGAGAGGAGGAGGGGTGATCGAGGACCCAGAGCGGGGTTGATGGGACCTGCGAATGGGTCGTGAATACGGATAGACCGTAATGACCGCTGCTGAACGACTTGTTCAAGCAGAAAGGAAGCTGTCGCAAACCAAGAGGATATGCTGAGAAGAACAGACGAAGCTGGATCAAGATCAAGAGAGCGCCTCTGCCTTAGAAGGCGCAAGGAAATAACAGCTGGGCTACACGGGGGAGGGGGAGGGCCGCTGACGCAGCTCGCCCTCAATGTCGCATGCAGCAAGCAGAGCTTCCTTCCCCAATTGAAATGCAGAAATTGGTAGCACCCATGGCTGGGCGCCTCGGAGGCCCATCTGGCGGGACAGCTGCAGCAACCAGCAAGCTGTGGCGTGAGAGCATGATTGGCTGGAGGGCCCATGGGCCACCTTGCAAGCCTGGTTGCTCTAAGCGCCCAGTCCTCGACGGCGACTGACAGGCCTTGTCGAAGCGCCGACTACTGGAGCCAAGAAATTTCTGGGTGGGTTTCATGGCTGGTCGATTTTGTGCCATCAGCCTGGGTACGGCTGGGAGTGGAGAGGGGACACAGCAGGGAAGAGATTAGCTCTGGATTGAAATTTGCTAATAAAAAGGTGTTGTTGGAAGAGAGGAAGGCGACGTTTCGCAGCGGGCCGTAACGTCCAGTGATGAAATAATAACCCGAGGCTGATGCCGTTTGGTACCTGAGGTGCTCCTACTAAGAAGGGCAAGACAGGCCGGCAGTTTGAAGCGGGAACTAACCCCGTAGGTATCACATTTGACGCTGGGTGCACTGACCACTCGCAGGCAGGTGGGTTGAACTTTAACGTGGGAGGAGGCACCAATATGGAGCCCTGGCAGGTATCACAACAGATTAGTCCTACCCAGGGTGCGATATATGCCATTCTCGGCGCTTAACGCAGCTCAGAGACATTGCGGCCTGGCTTTCACTGAGCTTTTGACCCTGGGGAAATGCGACGTTCCGGCCTCTGCCGCAGGACGGCGGTTCCTTCGGCTTGTGCTGCAGTGAGACGCTTCTCCCAGGGTCTTCAGGGCTAGCTTGGCAGATCATTCAGAACATAAGCTCTATGCAGCTGCCAGCAGGGATTGATGCGCGACAACCCTTCCAGAGCATGGCTTCTCATCGTGGTGTATACCTAGTTTATTACATGAGGTACCTAGGTATGCATGGGATCGATTGCTTAGAGGGGCTTTTGATAAGGGTGGTTTCCCCCTGGTCAAGGCAAAAGGCCAAGCCCGTTGATACTGAACATCCATTCTGGGATTACATAGACTTGGGTTTCTCGTGAATACCGAGAATTGTACGGCTCGAGTCTCAAAATATGGCCCATTGGTGTCCTCCTATTGAAGTTCTAACGGTGGTTGAAGCGAAGCACGGAGACAAGCAGGTTGTGCTACCGCCAGTGAAACGCCCCACAACCGAATCGCACTTGCTTCGGTTGCCGTTGAAAAAGCGGGCCAAGCCACTCAACGCGTCTCCCAACCCAAAAGACGCGACAGGAGAACATCGTCATACAGCTACAGTTCCCCATCAAAAAGCTTCATAGGCTGACGACAGAGATCTCGGGTCAATGAAGACCTGCACCCATGACCACAAGCCCATATCGAGACTACAATGGCTCCGACCTCTGGAAAGAAGCAACAGTCTTTGACTTCTTTCTTCACTCCTAAAGCAGCTACTGGAAAGCCAGGTCAATTGCCGCCATCATCGCCCCTAGCCGTTGCTTCATCACCACTTGCACGAAAACGAGCGGTTCCAGACGACAACGACGACAAACCCAGAAATAGCGCCAAAAGCACAGTCAAGAAACCCCGAAAAGCCTCCGCAAATGTTGTAGCGCCTGTGTTTGAAGCAGTTGCCAGCGACCATCCGGCTGATGCGCCCCTGAGCCACGCACCAACGCCCCGAGCAGAACGATATGCCTATGACGGATCAAGCTCCCAGAGGCGGGCCGATGAGGATGGCGATGAAAGCGACGCTCTAACTAAGAAGAAGAACGAAGAATTACATCGAAAGTTTGTCAAAAAGCTCGGTCACCCTGATGCCATGTCCTGGCGATCAAGGGGCAATGCACCAGACGGCGGCACACCAGCAGGAGACGATGAAGACGCCGAGAACGAAGATGAAGATGAAGAACCACCAGCACCAGTCAAGGGTAAAAAGAAAGGCGCAAAGACTGGGAAGCTCACCCCGATGGAGCTGCAGTTTCTGGATATCAAGAGGAAGCATATGGATACCATTCTCATCGTAGAAGTTGGATATAAATTCCGATTCTTCGGTGAGGATGCAAGAATTGCTGCTAAAGAGCTTAGCATCGTGTGTATTCCCGGTAAAATGAGATATGATGAGCGTAAGATATCACTTGCCCTTTCTTTGCCAACCGGCTGTATTTCTCTGATTAAATGCCTAATCATCATCGATCCACAGATCCGTCCGAGGCCCATTTAGACAAATTTGCGTCAGCTAGTATCCCGGTTCATCGTCTGCCTGTCCATGCGAAACGTCTAGTCGGCGCAGGCCACAAGGTGGGCGTTGTTCGTCAGGTTGAAACGGCTGCTCTGAAGAAGGCCGGAGATAATCGCAACACACCCTTCGTTCGCAAACTCACCAACCTCTACACCAAGGGGACATACATTGACGAGAATGGGGAGCTGGATGTGCAACAAGGAGGCGCGCCGGCTGCTGGCTATTTGCTCTGCATCACAGAAACAAAAGCCAAGGGCTTAGGCACCGACGAGAAGGTTGATGTCGGCATTCTTGCTGTCCAGCCAGCCACTGGAGACATTATATATGATAACTTCGAGGATGGTTTCATGCGAAGCGAGGTCGAAACCAGACTCTTGCACATCTCACCCTGCGAGTTTCTTATCGTGGGAGAGCTCAGTGCAGGCACAGAAAAGCTCATACAGCATCTGTCCGGTAGCACCACCAACGTGTTCGGGGACAAGAGCAGAGTGGAGAGAGTTCCTAAGAGCAAGACTGTGGCCACGGAGGCTTACTCTCATGTTACAGAATTCTACGCTGATAAGCTGAAGGCTTCATCTGGAGATGGCGTGGCAAATGGCATCCTGGACAAGGTCCTGAAGCTTCCAGAGCCTGTCACAACCTGCCTATCAGCCATGATATCCCACCTGACAGAATATGGTCTTGAGCACATCTTCGACCTCACCAAATATTTCCAGAGCTTTTCTACCCGATCGCATATGCTTATCAACGGTACAACTCTCGAGAGCCTTGAAGTCTACCGCAACTCGACAGATCATGCCGAGCGCGGAAGTCTTTTTTGGGCGGTTGACAAGACACTCACCCGCTTTGGCCAACGACTGTTGCGGAAATGGGTTGGTCGCCCATTACTGAATAGGGAGCATCTGGAGGCTCGCCTTGCCGCCGTCGAGGAGTTGCTCGAGAAGCAATCCACTGGCCCAGTCGACCAACTCGAGAGACTTCTAAAGAATACCAGGACTGACTTGGAGCGCAGTCTGGTACGAATTTACTACGGGAAGTGCACTCGCCCTGAGCTGCTCTCTGTCCTTCAGACTCTGCAGCGAATCGCAAACCAATACGCAGCCGTAAAATCGCAATCTGATACCTCGTTCGATGCTCCACTTCTCAACGACGCAATATGCTCACTTCCCCAGATCCTCGACACCGTGAACTCGTACCTGGAGCAGATAAATCTCGAGGCCGCCCGCAAAGATGACCGCTACGGCTTCTTCCGCGAGGAGTATCAGACAGAGGAGATTCAAGATCATCAGATGAGCATCGCGCATGTCGAGCACGACCTCGACAGCCACCGGGCCGAAGCAGCCCAGAAAATCAAGAAGATGAAAATCGAGTATACGACTGTCGCCGGCATTGAATATCTCATCGAGGTGCCCAATTCCGACATTAAGCATGTTCCTGCCTCATGGTCCAAGATCTCGGGAACCAAAAAGGTCTCTCGATTCCACACCCCCGAGATCCTACGCCTCACTGCTGAGCGCGACCAACACCGCGAGGCCCTCGCCGCTAGCTGTGACCAAGCCTTCAAGGATCTCCTTGGCAAGATATCAGATGACTACCAGCCTTTACGCGACGCCATCTCTTCACTCGCAACCCTGGACTGCCTTCTCTCCCTCTCCAAGGTTGCCGCCCAGCCAGGATACACGAAGCCAGCCTTCTTGCCAGACTCCGACCCTCCCTCCATCTCCATCACCCAAGGTCGTCATCCCATAGCAGAGCACACCCTTGAAAGCGGATATATCCCTTTTACTACCAGCTTAGCAAACCCCGCACCGCTTGCCAATCTCATCACAGGCCCTAACATGGGCGGCAAGTCGTCCTTTGTTCGGGCCCTTGCCCTCATTGTCCTTCTCGGCCAGATTGGTTCATTTGTCCCTGCAGACTCCCTCTCCCTCACTCTCTGCGATGCAATCCATACCCGGACGGGTGCCCGGGACAACTTATTTGCGGGCGAGTCTACCTTCATGGTCGAGGTCTCAGAGACGGTCCGTATTCTAAAGTCCGCAACGCCCCGCAGCCTCGTCATCCTGGATGAGCTTGGCCGTGGCACGAGCACCCACGATGGTGCTGCCATTGCTCAGGCCGTTCTTCATCACGTGGTCACCGAAACCCGCTGTCTTACCCTCTTCATTACCCACTATCAGAATCTTGCTCGTGTTACAGAAGGTCTTGAAGGCGTGAAGAACATTCACATGAAGTTTACGGCAGAGACCGGGCCAGACGGTGAGGAGGAGATAACGTTCCTTTATGAGCCCACAGAGGGAGTTGCCCACCGCTCTTACGGTCTCAATGTTGCCCGATTGGCTAGAATCCCCCGAAAAATATTGGACGTGGCATCGTTCAAATCTGGACACATGGAAAAGACAATGCGGGCTAGGCAACTAAGCGGAGCTTGTAGAGCTCTAGCCGACACTCTTGGACCTAACGGGACTCAAAATCTGGATCATCTCATAGCAAGCATCGAACAGCTTTAAGGAAATGTTCGAAAAGTATATCGGTTAAATAGGACAGTTTTCACCTCACGGATGGACAGACGCAAAAATAATAATTTTTTTCTGGGTTAAAGTTGTTGTATCTAGAAGCTTAGATTAGCCTGTATTTATTTGGAAGCCCATTCGCGCCTTGGTGTGATCACCGTGCAAGTATTCTTCGCCCAATACCAATAACCCATTCATAAACTCAGTTTTGTCCCATCTAAATAAATTGTAGCCCATACTGATTTGGCTAAAAACTCGATATATTGACTTTTGGTTTTGGGATTAACGGACTGCTAGATGGAGGGTTAAAACGCCATGTGCTCACTTGAACCACATGTCCAAATGATGAGACAAGGGCTCTCCTTGTCCCAGTTGCCGCACATTTTCAAATTTTGGTTAGAGTTTTTCGACAATAAACTCTGGTAGGATCGCTGACAGTAGACTTTCCTGGGCGATCATAGTGATTTCAGGTGGTGTCGAAAGTTCATCTCGCTACTGGCGCTTTTCATTTGCTTGATGGCCAAAGGAAATTATCATGTGCATTTTAGTCAAAAACTCCGAGAGATCCAGTTGGCGTATCTGTAGAACGCCATTAGGTGAAGGCAAGGCAAGTCAATGAAGTTTGAAACAGCTTCATGCCCAGTCTTAAAGATCTAACCCTTCCGACCGGAGGGCATCAGGAATTTCCAAAGTATTTTCCGGGTCATGGAGACGCCAAACGTTCTTGGGGTCGAATATGGCTTCATTGACTTCTGTTAGACCTGCGTTGTCTTGCTCTAGTAGCCCGTTGGGCTGGGGCTCTATCTTCACGGATGAGGTTGCGCTTGTTTGTAGCAGTTCCTCCGCACTCGTAGAGTAACCAACTTCTCTATCAATGGTCGCTGCGTTAGGCCCGATAGATGAAAATGGTGGGTTACTGGTCGGCGGAGTATACGGGTTAAAAAACAAGCGGTCGTTGCCAAAAAGCGCGTTAGAGTTGCCACTGCCAAAATTAAGAAAGACGTTTGAGCCGGAGGATCCAAGAGGGTCATCAGTATCATTCTGTGAGAAATCCTCTGACTTGGGCATGGTCTGATGATGGCTTGAGGAAAATCTGTGATTATCCTGCCCAAGGAGGTCATAATGAAGGCCCGGCATGAACGAAAGCTGGGAAGGGGTTTGGTATAGAGAACTGTCGCCCAGTGCATAGGAAGGATCTTGATGACCAAATGACCCTGGATTTCATTAGAGCTGACATCTTAACTCGTAGAATTATCATATATGCTCACCCAAGGTAAACTGATTTCCATTAGTGAGATATGGATGCATCGGCAGTCTGATCTGGGAGGAGGTTCGTTGGGATCCAACAGGTGTGTGCAGGTCTCTTGTAGAAGTGTGAGGGGATAACCCCGAATGCGAATTCTGTACCAAACTCTGAAGCCCCGCACGGCCTCGAAGATCAAACCTGGATTACAGAATTAGTGGATTTGGCTTATAGACCCTGTAGAGAAGACCAACCTAGACTCTCGCTGTGTTGAGGACAAAGGGTAAACTTCATTCGAACCGATTCCTGAAGCACAAGTTAGTTATGAATTTGCACAAAAAAAGGCAATAAACCATCTAACCAATCCTGTTCTCGTCGTGAAATATGTCAGTTTGACTTCGGAGAGCGCCGATGGTTGACGGCATGTCCGCAATGCTTTCATTATTGAGCAGAGGCTCCAGCTTAGCCGGCTTCTCAGCTGCGTTGGCGCGCGAGGCACGGCCGCTGCTTCCTCTTGGGATGTTGGAGGATATCTCAGCTAAGGGTTGAGCTGGTTTGCGTCGCTTCCTTGTAATCCTCCGAGGCGGAGACTGTGGGTGTGAGTTTGGAAGCTTTGTCAGGACAGAACCTGTCCGCACTTACCGCAACATCTTGGTCAGAAACAGGAGAATCATCATCGTATACGCCTTTGACTCTCTCAACATCAAATCGAGATGTCATTACCACTTGCGTAGGTTCGATTTCCTCCGAGGTGCGTCGCATTTTCTCCACGACAGATTTTGGCTTTCTCTGGTTCCGGGTTCGCTTCATCTCTTCTGTTGCCAAATCCATTTTCCCCATTCCAGGCCATACTTGACCTTTCATAGATATCATGTCTCCCAGGGCAGCTAACTCTTCTGGTGCTTCGGTCTCGTTGTCGGATGCAAAAAAACCAGCTAGGCCTGGGAAGTCCGAAACAAGCCCATCCTCCGTTTTGATGACCGTATTATTGCTTGTGGATCTTCTAGGTTGTTTTCTATTGACCTGCACAAAGTATTAGCTTGAATCTAAGTGATCGCATTGGCAGGAGCTTGCTACCTTTGGCATGGATGTGGCAGAAGAAGCCCTATTTCGTTTGTTTCTAGCAGCCTCTTTGACTTGCTTCGCTTTCATTCGCTCGACTAGCAAATTCTCGATGTTGTTCTCTCTGTACCACTGCTCATACTGCTGCAAGGCAATCGAGGAGACAAGATCCTGGTGCGCCTTTAGTTTTGTTTGCGTCTCGTGGTGGAGATGGCCTTTAGACGCAATATGCGTGAGGAGATGAGACACATCAGAGAAATTTGGTGTTTCGGGGCAAACGCTGCAGAGAAGAGGAATCTGTTTTGCTACAGGATTCGGGGTGTCAGGAATTGGCCCAGACCGAGGCAGAGATGCCATAGTCTAGCATATCGATGTTAGCGACAACCGCAGGCGGACCCCAAGGGATAGGAGACAGTTTCTGAGGGTGATCCCGTGAAATGACTGACTGGGTTTTGGTGCCAAAATTGGCTTTGGTATCAAAGCCGACGAGAATGAATGCAAAAAGGTACACCGAATGCCCTGGGTGGGAAAGGAGGAGCAAGCTATGCGTGCGAATGAAAGGAGCAATGGGAATGGCAAACGGCTATTAAGAAAAGAGCAACTCGTAAAAGACAGAGGGACCAAGTTGGATCAAGAAGAAACCAAAGAAAGGATCGGGTTCGGTGCAACGACTGAGGATAGAACACTCCCACGATAGGAACTCTCCATTATCATTGGGATCCTCGACGAGACATAGTCCAAGGAACTGCAGGGAGGAGGGCTGGCTGGCACTTAGAAAGACGCAAGTAGCTTACCGGGGTCATTGCCACCCTTCTTCTCTGCCTTCTGGCCATGACGGGATTGATGTAGCAGCTGGGGAAGCTGTGACCGCCAAGAACCCCAGACAACCAAAAGCAACGGGTGACCCAATTGCGAATAAGGAAGTGGAAAGTATATTTAGACAAAAGATGAGAGCCGACGAACTGGAAGGGAAGGAGTGGGCTCTGGGGCGAGAAAGAGCCTGGTAAGAAAGTGTGGTGGGAGGGAGCCTCGAAGGAGGAGGAGCGCCTGACCGTTCAGGCAACTAACCGGCAGTGGCTTCGTTCAAATGCCCCTTAACCAGCCTGCAGACTTCGATTCGCTTAATCTAACCCGAAAATACATTCCGCTTGAGAATAGATAGTATTTTCTTTCCGAGAGGGAGGGATTCGGATGCCTGCGAACGAGAGGTATCCTTAGTGACTGCTTGGTTTGCGCGATGCACGTTGCTTTCGGTTCCGTTCGTTAGTGGGATTCGAGATGTGGAAGTAAGCCTCAATATTTTGTATGATTATTGTGCTCGTCTCCCCTGCCATGAATGGTTCATTATGGCCAAAATATATGTAGGGACTGCCTCATGGAGAGCAGGATTGGGACCCAGATGTGTTGAGATAAGAACTAGAAGTAACTTCAGGGGCTTGAGCCACATGACTTACTCATATATGGACTTCCAGACTTCATATGGTATTAGAGAAGTTCTAACGCAGACAGAGGGGCCCGCATAGTGTATCGGTCAGCTATAGTTTGACTTCATCCGATTCTCTGGTCGTTATGTAAAACACGTTGAAAGCGGCACGGCTGCCTACCTCTCCTCATCTCAGAAAGAATACACCCCTCATAATGAAGCCATTGCCTCTGACTTCTACCCGATTTCGCTCCCTCCCTTATCTCACTACTTCCTGTTGATGGTTAGATCCGACTGGGAGGTTTGCTGGCCGAGTTGGTGATGACCAAATGCAAAACATGGCAAGAAGACAAAATATTGAGTAGAAGTAAAGCATAATATTATTCATCCAAGTATCCTTTTAATGACAGGCTTCGGCATGCAGTAAACTGGATCAACCGTTTCCATGTTAGGATAGCCGAGTAAACTTAGGCCTGCAAGCCCGAAACACGTGTGCCAAACGTCGACGCGATCATTAGGCCTGTCCGAAATCCCGCCTGATTCTTTGTCTTGACAACTTAGAATGAAGCGGATCAATGCCTCTCGGTCAATCCAGTGCACGAGATCGATAATCTTCAAACTGCTCAAAACCCACCAGCTGTAGCAGACATCCTCCTTCTTCTCCGGCCGGCCATTCAGACCGCCGCAGGGAACTTGCCGCTCGCTGAGCCAGCGGCCCAGCTTCTCCTTGTCGACCAGATCAAGGCGCTGAGCGATAGCGAGGGTAGCGACGCACGTGAAGATTTGGCCAGAATGAGACTCGGCTCCAGGCCGCACGCCGTACCCCCCATCGTGGTTGGTGCACGACACAACATATGATACAGCTTTGTCTACATCGGCAAGGGATAGAAGGCCCAGAAGAGACAGTGCGTTGAGTGCTCCGTAGAGAAAACGAGTGTCCTCTTCACCCCATTCGTCGCCCGAGAAAGTGCCTGTTTCACGGTTCTGAAGATTGGCAATATCTATGGAAAACAAAATATTAGACGGGCTCCCGGGCTAAGATTATCCGTGAAGCATACAATTTCCAACCTGTTGTTTACCCTTGCCTTTGGTCTCCAGGTCATCGAACCCATCAGCCATGGCGAGAATCTGCACAGCACTTACTGTGGACAGCATGTGGGCATCATGACCAGGTGCTGCCCCAAAGCCACCGTTATCGTGCTGACAGGAAAGCACAAAGTCTATGGTTTCTTGCCGGGGGAGAGCATCTGGGCGACCAAGAAGGTGAAGAGCCGTTAGCCCCCAGTAGACGCCATTAAGTCGGAGATGCTCTGTCAACCAAAAATCGAGCTCATCCTTTTTCGTATCGAGGCTTTGGATGTAGCTGACATGAGCATCTGTAGCGAGGATAGGAAGCCCCGAGGACTGGCTTGTCGCGGACATGGCAGGCTTATATGGAGTTTATTTGAGGCACGGCAGTGCTTGCAAGAGTGCAAGGCAGCAACTTTCTTGATTGTCTTGATCAGCACATGTCAGTGTCACGTGATCACACGATGAACTAAGGTACACGAGGCTGATTGAAGCGTGATCTGGAAAATGTATGCATGCTCGGTAGTATGCAACGGTCATTCTCAGTCTCAGACTTCCAATCAGCCGGATCCCCAGGCAGATCCTTCAAAGCCATGCAGATGCAAAGACATGAGTTCATGAACTCCAAGACGAGCCCCACCTTGAGAATAAGGACAGAGGTTGGGTGTTGATATGGAGGTCCGGAATATACATGACATTCTTTTGCTGGTGAACTGCATAGTCATGATATGGATACATTTATGCGACGAGAATTTTGTAGTGGGAGGCTATTTTCAGAAACTTGGAAGACCTGGATCTGGCTCCCTCCAACTGCAGGATGACGCAGATCGTTCCCCTGACCTGAAGCAAAGTGTTGCACTTGGATCGGAGGGGCCACAAGGCTAAATCCTGATTACCAACTTCCTGGTCCGAAATTCAATCCAATCTTCGATACTATGGCGGCTGTAGTCGTTTTTCGAGACTCCAGAGCATAGAGTTAAGATCAAGAGGGTAAATTGCACGCCTAGAATACCCAATGTGACGGAGCGAGCTACCGCGGTGCATGAGACCTAGGCAAACAGACAAATGACGCCAGTGGCAGGTCCAAAGCCTAGCTGCTGCACCTGGTGATGGTGATGGTGTGGTCATGAACATTATGCGCTCTACGAATACGAGTCATGTCTACCTGGAATATTGAGGTGGCAAGATTCGGGCGTAAAGAGCCGCAAGTCTATTGGATCGTGCTTGCGCCCGTCTGTCATCGTGTAGGTAGGTAGGGCAAGTTTTCTTCCCTCTTCCCCCATAATTAGCATTACCATGATGATGTTGGCACTGCCACCATGCTAAGATGAGGGTTTGTTGCTCCCGAGTCAGCAGCCGAGGGAAGCCGCTATCATGTGAGTTTGCACTGCCAAATGTGCCGATCATTTGGGTATATCTGGTGCCGTTTATATATTCAGGCGTAGCCTGTAGGTAAGTCTCAGGGGCTTGGCGGGTGTATTGGTCAAGGAGAAGGAGGTTTCCATGTACCATTAAACGATAGTCAGGGCCCGTCATCACGTAGCGGGAGACACCATGTGGTCTAGAGCTTCAATAGCTCTGGCGGCGGAAGGGCATCGCCTTATTGGCATCCAGCTCAGCTTGACAGTACATACACGATATGGCAGTCTTCTAGATGTGTCGTTGGCTACCTTGCCTTACGCAAGTATCTCCACACGTCAACTCACAGGCAGGGGCAACGAGTGGAAGGACAGAGAACTCGAGACAGTACTGGCATTCTTGACACTGATTAGCCCGGAGGCCGCGTGGATAGGGTGGGCAGAAACCCGGCCCATTGGCTGTCCCGTCCTTGTTTCAGATATCGCTATGGCACTCTTCACTAAGGTAGGGATGGATTTAATTTTCTTATGAATAATACTCAACATAATGTCAGGAGAGTAACAAACTATTCTATAGTATTTAGCTTAATACTGTGTTTATTACTGGGTTGATTGTTTTGATATTATGTTGAAATTCAACGCTGGAGGTTCTGGGTGTGCCATGTTTTATGTCAGTCACTTGGCAAGCACTGTACCCACCATCATGACCCACCTCTAGGTAAGGTACCTAGGCACCTATTATGTAGCTTGCCTGGCGTGTGTAGGTACCAACACGTTGGTTGGTGTGGACGAGAGAGGGTATGTGTGTGCGCGGTGCTGTTGTGCGTGTTGGCAAACAACCGCTCCCGGAACACGTAATAGTGCGATGGACCTAATTAGCCTCTCTGTCTTTGTTGGACAGAAACAGTGAGTGTGCCTGA